TATAAGAGATGTGATTTAATGAGGAAAACCATCATTAGCTGAATGCTTATTGAGAAATCCAGACATCATTGCTACTCTTTCCTTTCCACTTAATTCTAGACGATAAGAAATAAAGATTGAGAAGTCTAATTATGTGGTATTTGGTACGTATGGTAGGTGCTAAGATGCTCATCCATGTTTGCTAGGCTAGCTTCTGTTGCCTTTATCCATCAGCTTGAGAATTTATCATATACTTCAAAGGGCAATCATTATAGTTCAAGACTTAAGTGACTGCTTCTTTTGGGCTTCATCAGTCTCTTGGGTGTGTCTGACTCTTCGAGATCCCACGGACTATACAGTCCATGAAATTCTCTATGGCAGAATACTGGAGTGGGTAGCCTTTCCCTTCTCCAAGGGATGTTCCTGATCCAGGGATCAAACCCAGGTCTCCCACATTGCAGGCGGATTCTTTACCAGCTGAGCCACAAGGGAAGCCCAATCACTCTGACATTTGACTCTATTAACCTAAGTTTAAGACTCCTAAGATTAGGAGCCAATTGTGGACTATCATTAGGCATGCTGATAGAAACAGAAAGAAGCTCAAAATGATCATGCAAAACCCTGTTTGTAGAGAACAAACTAGAGACACCAAGGGGAGAAGGGAAGGGTGGGGTGGAATAATTGGGAGATTGGGAGATATATACACTATTGATATCCAACCAGTCCATCCTAAAGGAGATCAATCCTAAGTGTTCACTGGAAGGACTGATGTTGAAGCTGAAACTCCAATACTTTGGCCACCTGATGTGAAGGTCTGGCTCATTTGAAAAGACTCTGATGCTGGGAAAGATTGAAGGTGGGAGGAGAAGGGGACAATAGAGGATGAGATAGTTAGATGGCATCACCAACTAATGGACATGAGTTTGGGTAGACTCTGGGAGTTGGTGATGGGCAGGGAGGCCTGGCGTGTTGCAGTCCATGGGGTCGGACACGACGGAGCGACTGAACTGAACTGAACTGATGAAGTGGATAACTAAAGAGAACCTACAGTATAGCACAGCGGACTCTACTTAGGGCCTGTGGTGACCTAAAAGGGAAGGAAATCTTAAAAAGAGGGAAAATATGTATATGTGTAGCTGATTCGCTTTGCTGTGAAGCAGAACCTAACACAATATTGTAAAGCAGTTATACTTTAATAAAAAAAAATTTTTTTAAGGCTTTTAAAAGAGCAACTTCTCTGGCTGAAATTCATCACCGATAGAAATTCAGACACAAATCCCTGCTGGGTAGAAGATAATGCTTATGAAGATGAAGGGCATGAAGGAGACCTCAAGAGAGAATGCAATATAGCCTTTTGCCTGAATATCTAAGGTCAGGTGGTTACGAACAGGAATTATATCCAAAATGATAACGATTGGTTGATAATATGGACATCAACCAATCAGAATGGACCACTGTCATCTTGCTGAAGAAGGATTCCAGAACAGTCAGCTGCTATAACCATGTGTTGCTGAATAATGGGGGTTAGCCAGGGGTACCGCCAGGGTAGCTGGGGTATGGCAAGGCAGTTGGGGGACCCAGGACAACAGCTGCATATAAAGCAATCTGGATGTATTTCAGTATTTCTACAAGGAACACAAGTTTTCTGGAGAAAGCCATTTAAACATTAGCCTTAACGGTGCACACTCTCTGAGAATGAGAATTCTCTCTCTAAAGTGCTTTTCATCTGACACCAGTTTCCTCAGTATGTTCATCTGAAATTTCTCTAGATTAACTAACCGCCCGTCGTATGGACCCCATCTAAATAACTCTTTGTTATTGTTGTTTAGTTGCTAAGTCGCATCTGACTCTTTGTGACCCCACGGACTGGAGCCCGCCAGACTCCTCTGTCCATGGGATTTCCCAGGTAAGATTTCCCAGGTAAGAAACCAACAGTGGGTTGCCATTTCCTCCTCCAGGTGATCTTCCCAACCCAGGGATTGAACCCATGTGTCCTACATTGGCAGGCGGATTCTTACCGCTGAGCCACCAGGGAAGGCCCCCCAAACTCTTCACTGACATGAAAACAGCCATTGCTTTTCATTTTTCTTCTCTTTTCCAAACAAGGTGCTGGAGCTAAGAAATCTTTGAGATTTGGAGTGTGAGGCCTATGTGTTTGGATCAAGGTTACTAGCCATGTATCTGAGCGCATGATTTCATAGCTCAGAGCAGGAAGTCTGAGTCCCTGGACAGTGTCTGCACACAGTGGGTATCCCATAAATGTATCGTATCTCTCGTTTGTTTCGTCTGTATGACCCCTGTGTCACACACAGTGATTGGTTCCTAGGTCTGATCTCCATCATAAGTCAACAAGCAAATTCTTAGAGGAACTGTGTTTAGAGAATTTCATCTTCATTTTCGCCATAGTAGGAGAACAGGATCACACACCCAGTTATAACAAGCAGCCACTGAACGACCCTCTTTGGCTTTTCTTCTTAGGACTGACCTTCCATCCTCTTGATTAGTTTTTTCCTTTTTCCAGGACACAGTCCAGATTCTCATCCTTAAAATGTAACATTGTTAAAGTACCTTCCAGGGACACATGTGCAAAGAATGAAACTGTGTTACTGGAATCCATCTGGATATCTTGAAGAGTCTAGTTTCCTTTGCGATTCTCTGTAAATCTTACTCATCTAGGCTGACCAAGCCTTCCTGTTCCTTTCTGATTTGTGCTTCTCAGACACTTGGGACGCCCCCAGGGAACCCCACACTGCCCCACCCCTCCATCCGAAAACAGTTGTTGACGCTGAAGTTACACAAGACCTTTCTCTAAGTACTGATTCCTTATAGAGCCATGCTGAGAGGCAGTGCAGGGTAATGGTTAGAGGTATACATGCCGGGTCTCTGCATGGGTTCCATTCTGTTCTTCCACTTGCCTGCCCTTCAGTTTAAGTGTTGCGCACACATTCTACAGGTAAAGTTTCATAGTCAGATTATCTTGGCATTTCTGACACAGGAAAAAGCACCCACAAGAATATTTCCTGTGGCCTTGTTAGTATGGTAGCAAATATTAGCCACCATTTAGATGTTTATTAATTACTGGGGGGGGGGGATCAAACAATGAACTAGACTCTACCTATACTGGAGATGATCACACAACCATTTAAAATAATTCAGTTTTTCTAAGGTATGTTGTTGAGAATATGAAAGCAAATTATAGAATAATATGTCCCATAGGTAAAGATATTCAGAGTACAAGCCGAGTATGATACTTCTAGATAAATATATAGAAATCAGTTTGGAATGACCACACTAAAATGAAGATAGTGATAACCTCTGTGGAAGGCAGTGGAATAGGATAGAGTCAAATATTTTTGTGCATTTCTTTCTATATTTTAAAAACGCTAGGTAAATATATTTCTTGAAAAATGAAACATCAAGATAAGAATAAGAGAAGTTTAACACAGAAAGCTAATTGGAGCATTTTAGTTCAGTGGCATTAGCAGTTATTGACTCCTTTTTTTTAAGGCTGAACTATTTCTTTCCGGGATTGGGAGAAACATTGTCAGAGCAAGTTCATTGAGTAATGAGTCAACAGTGCTAATGAGCTCAAGCCTTTGGAATCAGTGGCGTCTTCCTTTCAGCATGGGCACGTAAACATGTCGATAACCTGTTTTCAGATCAACATTAGGAGGATTAAGGTTTAATACTGAGCTTCCTCATGAGCTTTCACAATCAAGTCCCTGTACTTTAAGGAATAAAAAAAATCCAGAGTTAAACTAAGGAATTCATCTCAGTCACTTCTCTTTGTCCTCAGAAGAGACCTTACTCCTCTATGTGGTTCTGGGGTTTTACTCTATTAGAATTCATTTCTCTCTTTAGAACCTGGGACCTTATTTCTCAGTGGGGAACACTTCCAAATTGAAAACAAAAATATCATTCAGTTTTTGAATTTGGGAAATGGTGAATTTCTGATTTTACTGATTTTTTTTTTCCCCAGCAATTTCATTTCTGGAAGGAGCTGTGAAAACATGCCCTGCAGTCTGTCCCCAGCGTTCTGAGGCCAGCACCGTGTTCATGAGCAAGGCCTGGGTCTGGACGGCACCAGAGGCATCGGCCCGCTCACACTGATAGACTGTCACCTGTTTTGTGGACAGGAACTCTGACCTATGTGGTCCTGAAAACTCTCATAAGCTCAGACCAGGAAATGTGAGTTAATAGCAACATGCAAGCATCTTCGAGCAGATTTCCTGGGCTCCCATTGGGGTCTGAGTGAAGCACTGACCCACAGAAGGGAGTAAGCATGTACTCACCCCCACCCCGTTCTCTGTCCAAAGTCTGTTACGCCTGTGGTGCCTGTACTGCTCCCTAGCTGGGAGGCAGGGGTCCTGCTGGTGTTAGCTGCAGAATGGTGCGTTCTGGTGCTTGCTGTTGGGATTAGGGCTTGGCCACTGGGTGGGGCTTCACCAGTGGCTCAGAGGTAAAAAAAAACCCACCTGTCAATGGAGAGAGGCATGAGTTTGATCCCAGGGTTGGGAAGATTCCCTGGAGAAGGAAAAGGCAACCCACTCCAGTATTCTTGCCTGGAGAATCCCATGGACAAGAGGAGCCTGGCGGACTACAGTCCATGAGATCACAAAGAGTCAGTGTCCCATTTCTTCTTTGGGAGGTGGCATAGAAGAGTATAGATGTAATTTAAAAGCACAGAGGGATTCTCAAATTCAAAAAGCCAGCTGCCAGATTGGAAAAAAGCAAAGACTACCAATGCCAAATACTGGGGGGAAATATAGAACAAGAGAAACTCTTATTACACAGCTAAAAAGAGGGTGCAAGATTTTAGAAACTGATGTCATTAGAAAGTTGAAAGCATGCACATCCTTTCTAGGTATACACTGAGAGTATTAAACACATATACAAGGGAATATGTAGTTGTCTGTTTCTACAATGTAGTCCCATCAGTTGTTAAAATGGTATAAGTGATAACATGGAAAATAAACACAATGCTAAACTGAAAAAGAAAACACACACACATAGATTCAAACCCCAGCTTTACCATTTACCATGTGTACAATTCGGGGGTGGTTTTCAATCTCTCTGAGTTTTAGTTGTCTTATCTGTAAAATAGAATTAAGAGTAACTTCCTTGAAGTTACTGTGAGACTTCCAAATAACATTTCTAAGCAAATATTATATGATACCTCTTATATGTGGAATCTAAAAAATAGTACAAATTGAACTTATTTACAAAACAGAAACAGACTCGCAATCACAGAAAATTAACTTATACTTATCAGAAGGGAAGGGGTGGGGAAGGGATAAGTTGGGAGTATGGTATTAACGGACACACACTACTACTACACAAAATAGATAAACAGCAAGGTCCGACCGTACAATACAGGGAACTGTATTCAATATCTTGCAGTAAACTAATGGAAGAGAATTGAAAAAAGAATATAGATATATAGGTATATATTTATATATCTGTATTCTTAGATATATGTGTGACTGAGTCAGTTTGTTGCATACCTGAAATTAACACAGTATTGTAAATCAACTATACGTCAATAAGAAAGAAATAACACATCTAAGAAATACCTGGACTATGTGAAGATGCAGAGTTCTTATTTTTTCATTTGTGAAACTGTGACAATGGAATGTGGCTCAATTTAGGATGAGTGGTTTATGTGATAACCTTGTGATAGGGTAAGGGTCCTACTGGCAGCGATAAAAGCAGGAGGGCATTTAACACAGGCAGCTGTGCCGCTACCTGTCAGCACCCCACAGACCTCCTGATCCACGTCTGAGAGCCACTAAAACGAAAACAAACTGCGTTCACTGGAATACTGCTTCTAACTCCCACTTATCGTGTGATCACTGCATTCTTGCAAATGCCACCACTGATATTTCTAAGCCAGTCTCCGAAGCAGATGGCCCTCGTTACCCAGACTGTGTTTGACTGATCCCTGAAGCCGAGTAGCTCAGTCAGTAAAGAGTCCGCCTGCGAGGCAGGAGACCTGGGTTCCATCCCTGGGTCAGGAAGATCCCCTGGAAAGGGAAATGGCAACCCACTCCAGTATTCTTGCATGGAAAATCTAATGGACATAGGAGGCTGGCGAGCTGCAGTCTATGGGGTCGCAAAGAGTCGGGCACGACTGAGCCACTAGGCTTACTCACTTTGACACCGAGTCTGGAGTGGCCACTGCAAACCAGGCACTTTGTGAGGTCCTGGGGAGCCGAGGAGATCAAGGATCTGTTATCTGGTATCTAGTAGCTCACACTCCGGTGTAGAAGTCGGGAAGTGGAGGAACAGCCTGGGGTGAGGGCAGCAATAGGGTCAGGTGCCCTGGAGGCAAACAGCTTTGGGAAGAAAGAGTTAGAAGCAGCTGATTTACCATCTAATTCTCTGACCTAACCTGGCTGAAATCTATCATCAGAATCTTCAGCTCTGTCTGAACCCTCGTCTCGCTCTGTGGGTCCTGTTCCCCACCTTCTGTCAACGTGTCTCTGTCTTGCAGTCTTTGCAAAAGATGTCAAAGACACCTGCCTTCATAACAATAACAACGGCAGAAATCTTAGTAAATGTTTAATGACATGAACTTGATTTGTGTATCCGTTCAAAATGTATTCACCCTTCTAGAGCAAGATCATATCTCCCGTCTCCAGCCACCTCAATTTTCTATGATTTTCTAAGCATCTAGGAAAAAACAAGCAAGCAAAAAACCCAAAGATCTTTATGTTTTTATTTTATCATCCCCCAAATATTTTATATCCTTTCTTGATTTAATATTTTTTAAAAAATCTAATTCTATACTGGAGTATTGCCGACTGACGATGCTGTGATAGTTCCAGGTGGGCTGCAGAAGGACTCGGCCGTGCACACACGTGTACCCATCCTGCCCGGAGCAGGTTCCTGGCGCCCCACAGGAGGACCCTGATGGTCATCCATTTAAAATAGAGCAGCGTGTACGTCTCCAGCCCAGACTTCCCAAATATCTCTTCCTCCCATCCTTCCAATTTAATATTGTTTTATTTTAAAATATTTGGAACTTTTATGATAAGTTGCCTCCAGTTCCCATTTGAAAAGGGCTAGTTTCTCAGACTTCCAAGAGCAGAGAGTAACCATTTCACCTCCACGAACCCTGTTCCCACCTTGATCCCCACAGTGCCACGCCCAAGGTAAGAGGTCATGCTGGAAAATGTACGATTGAATTGGCTTATCTTGCTGTCTGAGCTTACAGGGGTATGGAAATAGACAGAATGAAGTATCTTCCCTATTTGTTCCATTGAACACAATATAATACCAGGGACTGCTTCTGCTAATATTCATGTTTAAAAAATGAGCATGGATAAAATGAGTAAGTTTCTTATTTCCTGAGTCTTTTCATATATCTCAGCTAGTGATACTTTGAACTACAAAAGAAAAAAGAAAGGAAAAAAAAAAAAAGACTAAAGGAATCGTTCCAGGAGAAACATCTCCAGTGCACAGTGACAGGTCTATGCCGGTTTCCTGAAGTTTTCTGTTTATTAACCCGCCTCATCTGTGTCCGGCAGCTCGTGGAGTTATTCTAGCCTCATTCCTCACTGCTGTGTGGGAGACCAGCCGACTGGATTGAGCATGAATCAGCTACTAAAATAAGTGGCAGAGTAACTGGGATATGTCACTTGACCTTCAAATTCATTTTCTCTTGTCCTCACGCCATCCTGTTTCTCTGCCTGTCTCTCTTCGGTGTCCTTTTGCTAAACTAATAAGAAACAGATGTGAGACCAGAATGCCCTTAAACCTGTCCCTCTGAGATTTCTAGAAGCACTCCTTTCTGAAGAGCCTGGTCGTTCATTCATTTCTGTTGTAGCATAAACACAGGTTGCAGTAAAAATACACTTTCTGTTTTTTCCCTCTATTTTCAGCAGAACCTCTGCCTGTCACTGTCCTTGTCAGAATGTTGGTTCAATTTTAATGCAGGTGGAGACTGGGGAACGATACATGAGTTTTATTTAGTCTCTTAGGCATAAGTTAAAAAAACAAACAAACACAGATTGTTTAAACTGACCAAAGCAGGCAGCACACATGTTGAGGAATGACTGCGTCCTGTCATGTGAGCCTTTTGAAATCTTTCAGAGGGAGCAGAAGATGCTCAGAACCCTCCTGTGAAGTCTTCTAAGGACAGAGATGCTACCTACGTCCAGGGTCCACTCACCCCTGTTGGAAAGACGTTTGGAGTGAGCAGTTTTGGGGAGAGGGGCCCAGTCTGAGGGAGGGCTTTGCCTCCGTTCTGTCATTTAATGGGGAGACCAGCAGACGGAGCTGAGAGTGACGGATATTACAGGAGGTGAGGGGGGTGGGGGGTCACCCAAAGCAGACACAGGAGAAGCCCCTGTGAGGCTAAGGCACCTGGGCTTGCACATTCAGCCTCGGTGGCGGCATCCCTGCAGGAGTAGCTGGAGAGAGTAAGAAAGGATAAAGTGAAAGGAGGGAGGGAGGGAAGGAGGAGGTAGGAAGGAAGGAAGGACGGAAGGAAGGAAGGAGGCGGAAGCGGGGGAGGAAGGGGATGACTCTCAGCTGATGGAGAAACGCTCAACACCTAGGGAAGAATTCCAATTTTTGTCCTTTCATCCATAAATTATGGGTCCCCTTGGCGACACCATTCCTAATATTTGGCGGGGGTGAATTTGACCACCAGCACACTTGGATATTTATAATTCAACCTATCTGTTGAATTAAAAAGCAAAGACTAGCATTTATTAAACATAGGTAAGGAAAGGAAGTATTCTTTATAGTTGACCTTTTATTTGCTTATATAAAAAATGAATCAGTGAAAGCCTCTCACACAGATGCAGAGAAAATGAATGTTTCTGAGAAAAAACAGAATCCAGAAGATTATGAGCTTAAAGAGAGTCTGGGAATCTATTTAAAATGTATCACAGCAAAATGCCCACATTGAGATAATGCTCTGGAAGTTAGGATCAGTGTTCTAATTACTGTATGACTCCCATATTTTTGGCCAGGGCCGGTCAGTTTGCCAAAGTGTTGGTTGGAGGCTGGACTCCAGAAAGTGTTTTATTTTCAGTTGTACATTCGCCAGTGAAAATGCAGCTGCAACCTAGTTCAACCTGATCTGGTCAGAGACGCGAAGGAAAAGTCAATTCATTTTTCCACTCCCTGGGGCCAAGGGGAAGATTAGAGAACAAGTTTGCGTTGGTGGGGGGTGGGGGGAGGGTGTTGGTGACTTTTTTGTGAACAAAGTAAGGCTTTGAAGATCGAAACACCAAGTTAACAGGAATCAATCCAACTGAAGTGTGTTACTTTCCGAAAAAAATAAAAAAGAGAGAGAGGCATTTTTCTTCGATGAGGCTCTCAATACCAGGGGGTAAGGTTCCCATCGTGATTGCCACAGTACCTCACGACATGTGTCTGGTACAGCAAATACCAAATGTTTGTTGAAAGGATGTCTGAATGGTTGAAAGGCAATCCTCGGGGAAAACATGGCATCTAGGTGATCACACTCATTCTACCGCTCGTTCCTGAGACATTACTCTTTGCCCAGTTCCCCCCTGTTTCGAGTTGTCAGATCACACTGTCCTATATTTGGAATAATAGAGGGCTGTCAATGCTGCAGATGTCTGGGTTAGCAATTCCAATCGCCTCACTCTTTTGCAAACGCTGCCATCAAACAGCGGCTGAGTTCAAAATTAGATGAATCATCACCTTTTCTGTCACTTGCTTTGCCCACCTGCTGACAGGGAGAGATTTTCTCTTAATAAAAATCATCTTTAGTGAAGATAACACACTTCTATCTTTATTAGGAGCAGCTTAAGCTTGGCCCTGGGGCAAGTTGTAGGAGAGTTGACTGTTTATTATATTCTGATCTGTCACAAACAAAGATAACCTGTGTTTGGAAATGATGGATGGGAATGGAAATTTAGCTGTGCCCTTTAAAATACCTTTTTTTTTTAACCAATGAATATCATAACAACCACAAAATTCCCTGAGCTTTTGTTCATGAGAAATTATCTCCTACTGTTTCCTAAAACTTTTAGGGAGTGATCATTAATCATAGAATGAAGTCCTAAGTCAGCAAGCCCTTCAGGATTGGATGTGATTCCTTGGCCTGCAATCTCAATAAACTTTATATAATTCAGTCACAATGGGCAGACACATTTTCCTGTACATAAACCCCATTTCCCACTATTAATAGAGAATAGTATGGAGGTTCCTTAAAAAACTAAAAATAGAACTACCATAGGCCCCAGCAATCCTACTCCTGGGCATATATCCAGAGAAAACTATAATTCAAAAAGATACATACACCCCAATGTTCATTGCACACTATTTAAAACAGCCAGGACATGGAAGCAGCCTAAATGTTCACCAACAGAGGACTGGATAGAGACGATGTGGGACATACACAGCGGAATATCACCCAGCCATTAAAAAGGATGGAATAAAGCCATTTGCAGCAACTTCAATGGACCTAGAGATGATCGTACTAAGTAAGTCAGAAAGAGAAAGACACATATATGTCACTCATATGTGGAATCTAATGTTTTAGAAATGATGCAAATGAGCTTATTTGCAAAATAGAAACAGACTTACAGATATCAGAAACAAGGTCATGGTAACCGAAGGGGAAATATGGGGGGAGGGATAAATCAGGAGTTTGTGGTTAACATATCTGCACCGCTAAACTGAAAATAGATAATTGCCAAGGACCTACTGTATAGCAAACTCTGTATAGGAAACTCTGCTCACTATTCTGTAATTACCTAAAAGGGAAAAAAAATTTGAAAAAGAAAAGATGCACACGTATGAATAACAGAATCACTATCACAATTACACCTGAAACGAACACAACATTGTAAATCCACTCTACTCCAATAAAATAAAATAAAATAAATAGCTTGGTTACCACCGTTGTCATTGTCTCCACGTTGTGTCCACTTTTCCTACCAATTCCTCAAAACTCTGTTCCAACCATCTGATGCACAAGTGTTTCCTGCGTCCCTCTGGTCATTTCAAAGTCTCCTTCTCTTGAGTCCATCACGGTAGTTTTCAACTTCATTTTATCATTTATTGCTTAGCAGTGTTATTTGTTACTTATTGTTTGATGGAAGACGTGCAAGGCTTGCTTACGGTCATTGCTAATTGTGCCAGTTTTTCTCTGAGGGCAAAGATCATACCTTTTGGTTTTTCTCAAGCTCAGCGCTTTGCATGACTCCTTGTACAAAGCAGAGATTCAATAACTATTAGTTGAATTGAATTGTACTGAACTGCCCTTATGCGGCTTTTAATCTAATTGGGAAAAAGCCTAAGCACATCAAATGACGTTAGGAGAACCGCAAAGCATCAGAATTAAAAACCG